TACTCGTATCCACGTCCTCTGTCTGTGCAGCGAAAACCTTGCCTTTGCTGATATGTGACTCGGTCGAAGTGACTTTTTTGCCCCCCCCCTGTAGTCACATCAAGGTTCCTTCCCGCAGCTCCTTGTAAGGGCCAAATACATGTTCAAATGTCTCTGTAACTGCACCTGAGGGTTGCATGCATGTTGCATCCAGCTCTCAGATGCAGTTACATTGCCAGGCTGCATTTACCAGGCTGGTAAATAACTTATCCCAAAAAGCTTACATAATTCATCTTGCCAACTTCCAAGTAATTTGTTTCTTTAGCACGTTTAGAATTCCACTGCATAAGCTTTTGATCTGAAATTGTTCAATAAAATTTCTAACGTCGCGAAAGCAGAGATGGTGAAAACTCAACATCCCTGCGATGGAGTGGCCGTGGCTGCGTACTTTTTTTGAATACAGTCCTCATCATTGCGGACTGTCGCAGGCGGCTTGAGCAGCGCGGTTCGGTTCCCTTGCTCTACCAATGGCGATCGGGTAGAAATCGATTTAGGAAGGAAACAACCAATGATGGAAACGCCGCATGTGAGAACCGCTGATTGCGGCCCGACATTGCGGTGATATTAAGTGTAGCGTTGGATGCGTATTTCGCGGTATATTTCCATTCGATACAGGAGTTATCCTATCTTGTACATAGTGAACATAAACATGCTTGCAACTGTCCTGGAATGTGCAGTGTCCCTCCGAAAACGCAGCTCTGCCTCCACGTTTGAATGAAGTAGCAGCCACAGAATCCCCATCCATGGGATATGGAGTGTAGTTCCAAGAGGCAGCACTTGTCATGCTCACAGGCCCAGACCGAAATCCGCTCAGGATAGAGATACCTTCCGATTTGGAGGAAGTGTTCGTCTGGGCTCTCTCATCCAGGTTGTTTTCTGCCGATTTACAGTCTTGTTGCTGCGGATGCTCGGGCGTGTCAAGGGGCTCGGTTTGGCGCCCCGTCTTACCACCAATTGTGTTCGCTTAACAGCGTCCGTAATTGGTGGAGGACGTGCTACCGCCGCGCCAAATCTGCCGCCACCGTTTTGGGGGCGTTTTTATGGTTCGCGTCGGCCGCTGAATACCTGTTAAATCCTGTAAAGCTATGCAGTAGTACGAGCTTCATTAACACTTGATACGAGTTCACAGGTCTCACCAAGGGAAGAAATGTCATTCAAGAAATCTAACAGACTACTCAACAGGAAACTGCGGCGAATGTGTTCGCGTAAGAGGAAAACACCCGCCTCTCCTTCCGACGTGGGTGCTTCCCTAAGAGTAAAAGGATGCCTCATCCCTTAAGGGATGTTGCAGAGCAAACCCTTCACTGACTATTTCCACTCTTGTGAGTTGGCGCCTGGGAAACAAGGTGACCGCTGGGCACCGTAGAATCCCTTAGCTCCCTGGAAATATCAAAGCCATTCAATTTCCTCTCTCCGAACATTCCCATGGGACAACGCGTGTCAGGTTATCGTGTAATTTAGGTCAGGAAAAGTGGCATATGTGTCGAATTATCACAAGCGATCGTGGTTCAGCGTCGCTGGTCACGGGACAGTGCGGGCATGGATCCAAGTCATCGCAGACAGTGCGATCTATCGAACCGAAGCGGCATGCGAAATTCACGGCAACGGGGGCATTGGCTACCCGGCGAGCGCGGCCACTCATGTACCGAGGCGGACGATCATAGACGGCGAGGTGGTGGGCTGGAGGATCTGTGTTGCTAACGGGGTGGTCTGCTCAGGCAGGTGGTATCATCGCACGCCGTCATCACCCCCGTCTGTCCCGTCGTCGACGGCGGCGGCGGCGGCTGGCCGGCGCCGCCGACGCTGCCGCTTGTCCACCAGAACTGCTGCACACAGAACACAACATTGCGCAATACCTCGTCACCATCGTGTAATCAGCCAGCGCTCGAACGCCCCTGCAAATTCGAGCCTCCGCAACCGTTCTGCACATGGCAGCGTTTTGCCTCATTGCCTTTTTCTCGTACTTGAATGGAATAATTTGGCTGTTACTCGTTTTTAGACTTACTCATAGCCTTTTTCATGGAATTTGACTGCTCATAGCATTTGTTTTCTCTTGTTTCGACAACCCGTTTTTCTCGAGCTTGCTTCCTTGCATCACGGTGCAGGTGCATTTGGGGGGGGAGTGAAAAGTCTAAAAGACTGTGTGTTCCTGTGCAAAATTCGGATTGGTAGTGGAGACGATGCTTTTCACCTCAACATAATGGGAAAGAAAGTCCGGATCAGTCAGCTGATTTCAAGTACGGCAATCCAACTTTTGCTCAGGAGTCCTTTAGTGCCCCCCCCTCTTGGCGGACTTCACCATGAGTTTTCGCTGAATCACACACTTCTGTAGGCGTTTTTGTGCCACGTCTCGACAGCGCCAAGGTCAAGCAAGCCCAACAAAAGTCCGCGAAATATGCGCACGCCGGGATCAGCACCAGGATCAAGACGCAAGAAGCGTCAGCCTAGGTCGCAATCCCTTCTTCACATGATTGTCTCATTTATTCCCCCTCCCCCGACCTCCCCAGGTTGAAGACAAAATAAGGAGTCTGACTTGCCCCCCCCCCCTTAACCTTTCTGTCGGTTCATAAACTTACGAGCAGTGGTTATGGCCTCGCGTAGCGGTGTGTCACGCTAGATTGGGAGGCAGCCATCTGCGCCATCAGTTTCTCGTGGACATGTGCTGTGCACGTGCTGAATCATGATCATGCGCCGCCAGACAGCCTTGCTTTCCCCCCGCTTGCAGGTCTTTTCTGCAGTCGGGAATCACTTATGTGATTTTGAAACTCCTCTGGGGGTTAGTGTAGGAACCTGAAATTCAACTACTCTATAAAACCCTACATTCTCTCTAGCCAGACCCTCTACCCCTTTTACTGTCCCTGATATGCCCTCTTTTGTGACTGTTGCCTTATCAGAGGTGGAGCGAAAACTGAAGGGCTCCAAGCGGGCGGAAGTTGGGGGAATCGAAAATGGTGGGTAGCATGAGGTTTGGGAAGGGGCGGGGAGATGGTCGTGGGAGTTGTATTGTGCAATAGCGTTCCACGGAGGATGTGCCCTGTTTTGGCACGTGAGAGGAACCACCGCCAACCAGAGCAGGTCGTACGATGGGGATCCACTGCAAGGGGAGTCGCATTTGGTGGGAAGAGGGTCGTATTTAGACTACAGTTTTGTGAGGAAATTTAGAGAACGTTGGAAAAAAGCTCCCAAAAAAGGTAATAAGTTGTAAAGATTTAAGGAGCTGGGATGGGGAATGGAGAAGGGAGGGGTCGTATAGAGGAGAGAATTCGAGGAAGGTCGTATTTTGCAAAATTTTTCCGCAAGGCTGGGAGTGTCTTGACCCTCGTACGTGCCCTCGAACTCTATGTACCCTTCCCCGCTTAGAGAGACGCTGAGAAGGATGGTATCACCCACTGTACATAATTTTGACAGGATGTAAAGATCACGCTTGACCTAATGCTTAAGGAGCCACGCCCGCTTGCGGGGCGGGGCATCCGCCGAACGTTGTTGCCGCAGACACAAAAATCAGATTTCACCTTCTTAGAGGCAGGCGCGAGCAATACGGAAAAAGTGGAATAAGGTCAGCAAGGGGTTTTGTGACTAGTATTCTACATGTCATTGGGTGGGTTGTGGTTTCTCATTTGGATGTCGCTGCCCTTTAGTGGGATATCGGCGTAACAGGAGTAATGTAGTCATGTATTTGTAAAGGCGCACAAAATGAATGTCAGTTTCTCAGATGGAGTGTCCCGAGGAGCGCATCCGCACGACGTGTTTCTGAAGCGAGCACCGAGCTACGCACCCCCCATCCCGGGATAAGGAGTGTATAACGAGTACGTTCTCTTACTGTCATGTCTCGTACTTCTTTACCTACCCCCACTTCCCGCATTAGTTCGCCCCCTCCCCCTTTGCGCTGGGTAAATACTATTTTTTTCTCTTTACGTTTAGCAGAAGATGTTGAGATACTCATGTAGCTTGTATGTACCGCTAAACTCTGGCGCAGCTATGCTTGGCCCTGTTTTCTCCTTATTAGAACGTTTTCCAATCGTTTTTGTCCCTCAGGGCTAAGTTTCAACTTGGCTCACTTCATTTCCGATTCATCAATCTTACAGCGTAGTAAAAAAGTTCAATTCGGTGATAGTTTCGTAATCTCCGACGAATAGTCAGCTGACCGCCCCCGTGGACCGGTTTCCTGATTGATTCAAGGTTTTTTCACGACATTCCCCTCGAATGTGCGACCACATTACTTCTGAAAAACGTCAGAATTTCGAAAGTGTCATATGGTTCATGTGCACTTGTGGGCGCCACACCTCCCAATGCACTTTCAGAGGATTCGCGCCAAATTTAAAATAGGGTTCTGGGAAATGCGAGTGGACGAGGTGTTTTTCCTCAGTGGAACTCATCATTCTATTACTAAGTCTATTACCAAGTACTTCTTTTACTTCTACATCCACTCTTTCTGGCGCTAGTCCAATACCGGGGCATTTTGTTAAACCCTGGGTATACCTGGCAAATTCGGTTTATTCCCGTGAACTCTTGTTAACCCATGAAACAGTACGATTCTTTTCACGCGATTTCTTCGATTTTTTGTCGATTTTGTGCAGCTTTTTAGGGCTGGAGTTGTAAAGATTTTGAGCCCCAGGAGATGAGAAATTTTGCCTAAACCTAGGTTAAGAAGCTTTGGGTCTGTGCACCGATTCCCAGGAGCAGTAGTTCTCCTTTCCGGGGTCCTGTCCCGGTACACCTAGAGGGCTATCAAAAGGACCTGGTATACTAGCGCCCTTGTTCACTTGAAGTTGTACTTTTGTGGATTTCACTTTATCACTCTGTTGTTAAGTACCATTCCTTCATCTGTAATGCCTTTCAGGACATGGGAAAAGATAGTGAGGTCACTTTGAGGGGCGGGAGTGAACCCTTCATCTAGTTACACCATTCCTTCATTTAGAATCTGAATTCAGAATCTGATGAGAAATGAAACGCCCATTTCGTAGCCATATCTCGAAAGAGTGTGTCGTTAGGTCCACAGAAACTTCGAAGCTGTGATTTTTATGCGATATAAGTGATTGATATGGATTAACATATTGAGTATAAAGCGCGAATTTCGTGGTCCAGCGGTTGCGTAACCAACGGAACAATTTTCTCTGGTTTTTATAAAATAAACCATTTTGGTGCAGAACACACTGTTTGTCGGGGGGGGGGCATTTTGTATTATAATTGCTTCCCTGGTTCCGGTTTACAAATCTCACTCTGGTAAAACTTGTGAACGCTTGTGAAGCTGGAGCAAGATCGTCTAGCCACCATCCTAAAACGTGTCAACTCGAAAAAAGGGTACCTAGATGGGTTGGCAAATCTATGAAAAGCAGAATGCCCCCCCCCCCCGTCGATAAACAGCGCCCGCAAATTTGTCGACGCACGTGCTAATCATTCCAAGGGTGGAAATGCTCCGAGTACACCATGCAGCTCCTTTTTCGGTTTAACCCTCAGTAACCCTACCGGTTACCCTTTTTAGTCGTAGCCTTATTTTGTCCACGAACGTACCTAGGGAGCGTTTGACTACTTGAGCATGAAAAAACGACACCCAATATTTTTACTTTGTTCATGCCATCTCCTTTCCTTATCGCCCCTTCACTCTCACGCATTCAGGCGCACCACCAAATTCAATAATAGTAAATAATAATAAAACAAAATCATACAATAAAAAATATTGTATTGTGATTTTTATTATTATTATTGTAAAAACTACAATATAATAATAATAAAAAATTACAATACAATAATAAATATTAGGAATGAAAGTTGGGGCATCACCCGTTGAGCAAAAACGGGCGGAAACGTGGCCTGGTCGCGAGCGGGTCGCGCTTTCCTGCTTCTTGGGTTGTTGAGGACTACCCCAAGAAACCAACGTGCCACTAACAAATTCTACTCTTGTCTGGCAGAACATCTGGCGCAGAGAGAAACTGCGCCAGAAGTTCAGCCCGAACCTTGAAAAGCCGCATGGTGGCGAGAAAAAGGGTAGGGTACTCATTAAACTGATCTTTTTTTCATAATAAATTTTTTTGTGAGCATCTGAAACTATTTAGCCTACTCCCAGGAAATTCTTTCTAAAAAATCGAAAGTCAGTCCTCTGAGCATGACTCACCATCAGATAGAATTACCTTGTCCTACATGGTGAGAAAACGTGAGTCATGCTAGACTTTACTCTTCTGCGCCGTCGAAAATTACCTATTAGAAACCTTTTACGCCCTTATTCTTCAATACATCCAGGTTCTAGAGAAATTTGACTTCGTTTCCATTTCTTTAGAAAAAGTAGTGGGAGCAGTTCGGCGAGGGGGGGGGCATTTCGCACTTTTGCTACTTCCCATCGACGTGTCGACCTATCAGCCTCTTCTCGAGTTGACAGGTTTTACCATGATGGCTTGACGACCTTGCTCCAGCTTCACAAGAGTTCACAGGTTTCGCCAGTGAGACTTGTAAACCGGAACTAGTGAAGCAACGAAAGTAAAAATGCCCCCCCCCCGTCGCCGAACTGCGCAAAATCATGTGCTATACTAGCAAGGGAGGGCTCTTGATGTGTTATACCATTTTCTTTTTGAAACGGACACTTTTCAAATCAAATTGGACACTTTTCAAATCAAAACGGACACACCTCTCGATAACTAGAAAAGTAGGTACTGCTGCAAGCCTCGCCCCAGCATTACCGCCCACTTCTCAGCGCGGTCACGGTTTTCCAAAATGTTTTATTGATTTTGCTTCTTCGAATTTTTCACTTTTGCTATTTGACACACACTCCAACCGAAAAGGAACTATCAAAAGCCTATTGTAAGGGGTGTACTCGATTTGATTTGAAAAGTGTCCGATTTGGTTTGAAAAGTGTCCGATTTGGTTTGAAAAGTGTCCGATTTGGTTTGAAAAGTGTCCGATTTAAAGTGGAAATGGTATAAATGCGAAGGAACAATTGTGAGCCCGAGAGAGGGTATTTTGCATGAACGCACGAGGAAAGAATCTTCAAAGTGCGAGTGAACCGAACTTTTTGTTCAAAAGGTCATGGTTTAAACGTCTTGGGTGGTCTGCGTTAAAATGCTCCACCTTGCTGGAATAGCACCAGAACCAATTTCAAAACAAATGTTTTCTTTTGCTGACAGGAACTTCCCATAGCAAGTTTTATGATGTTTAATGTCTACCCACCTGTGCTCAGCATCACATTCCTGTGCTGTGCACGTGAAAAATCACAACAAAAACTAGGCGCTGGGCTTTTATCTGCCCGCCAGTCAATTGTCCTCGTGGTTTTTGTCCATCTGTGACCGCGCACGCGACGTCGCGCCTGACTGTAGCATGATGGCGTCGGTCAAAGTACCCTATTTTCAGGGTATGAGCCGCACTTGTTTGAAAGGACAATGTGCAATATGCGACAATAAGCCCGAAAATCTCATCACAGCAGTGCAGTCTTATTCACTGCGAATACTGGGGCGTGACAGGTGGGGGGGGGAGGGGGCGGTAGTGTTTGGCGAGGAGCTAAACCATTCCCCACCAATCTGGCCGAGCTACCGAGCTATCCGATGGCATTAATAATCGTGCGGCCGCGAGCGGCATATCGTCATCCGCATTGCCGCACTGTGCGCCGCTCGGATACGTCACAGGTTGCGATTGTCTTGTCCGTCTCCCTTGATATGCCCTTACCACTTTCTTTTTACGAGGATAATTTAGGATTTTCGGCAGACCTCAATTTTTCAAACTGTTGGGCTCGTCCCGGACCTATTGGGAGGACATGTTTTTAGCGCTACCCAACGAAACAAAAACCCAATAGAATTGATCAACGAATAGAGAAGTGATGGATGAAACCAGCTTCTCAGGTCTTATCCGCCAACCCAATGACAATCTTTTTCTTGTGAGTATCTCAAATAAGTTTCTTTCTGGTGTTTTTTTGTTTCTTTTTCTCGCTTGTTTTCTTGTGCCAACGTGGTTCAGAGGACCATGCGGCAGCGCGCCTGTCCGCTCCCTTTCCTTAGTCCCACCTTAAGCAGGGCGCAGACGACCAGAGTCCGCGCGGTGTGGTCTCGAAGAGCAGGCGTAGTCGCACAGCCGCTCACTCATTCCCCCCCCTCCCGAACTCCTAACTAATTTCACGTGAAGGTACTACGTACTACAGCATGTCGAATACAATTAGTAAAATACTATCTAGTTTTCGTACGTCCTCACAGCTCGGATCTCCCAACCGATGCCTTCCCATCTACTACCTGCTTCTCTGTTTAATTTGAACGTAACGCTCGCATAATTTGCAAATAAGATGATTTCATGATCATTTCCGGTAATTTTCGATCTGAAAAAAATCCTGTTATGCAGCGGCGCCTAGAATATTCAAAAGGGTTTTTTATTTTTCACGACCTTATTTTTCTTCAAGCAAATTGACGGCTTTTGGTTGCAAGCGTGTTTCCTTGACATGCTTAAACATCTGTCCCAAAAAAATTGAACTTAAGGGTATCTGACACCACACGGAACATCTGTTCAAAAAAATTTTTTAGTTGGAGTACTTTTTTTGAAAAAATTTGCAGCTTTGGCTGCAAGCGTGTTTCTACACTGTGCTGAACATCTGTGCAGAGAAAAAAAATTTGCTTTCCACTAAAAGTATTTTTTTTTAAAAATCAGCAGTTTTAGCTGGAAGCGTTTTTGATGTCATGCTGGACATCTGTCAAAAAAAAGTCAAATTTTAGTGAAAATCTTTTTTGTCTCGAAAAATTTGGCAATTCTGTTTGGAAGGGTGTCCGTCGACGTGCTGAATATTGTTACGAACAGTGCACATTAATGTTGTGAAATTCACATCGGGGAGTCGTATTCAGTAGCGAAAGACGCCCGTATCGATCAGAGGGGAAGGTATGGGAGGGAGTCGTATTGAAAGGGAATTTTTTTGAGGTACGGGTGAGCGGGTCCTCGGTCCTTATTGGACGGAATTCGTGCTAACACTGGCATGCTCATTCCTAGCCTGTCTGGCCTGTCTTAAGGATGGAACAAATCCGAAACAACCATCACAGAAGATTTATTTCTCTCGAAACATAGGAGAAAATAAGGTTTGTCGGAAAAGTAACGCTTAATAGTTCTTTCTTTGGGATACGCCACGCATCCCATAAGCATTGACTATTTTAGAGACCGTCGAGCTTAGTTTGGTCTATACATGCAATGGGTTCCAATGCATGCAAGTAAAATTTTCGCCCACCCAGACGTCTCTTCTACGAAGTTAACGGCTTCGGAGGTATGAAAGGCTCGTTCAGCCCGGGCGAGGGTCGACCAAGGGTTGACTCTTTGGCCATTCAAACAGCGCATATGATAACTGCGGCACCTGCCACTGCACCACCCCTGCCGCAATATTCTGCCGATACCGGTGTGAGACCAGTGGAGGGATTTTTGAACGTGCCAAATGATAACCTTCACATTTTGTCACATATACCTATCTGTAAGTAGACTAGTTAATCCTGCAATTATCCCAAACCTGGACGGCACGATAAAGAGGCCCGGTAGTATATGGTTGATAATAAAAGGATTAATTGTTTGAAGGTCGTGCGTCAAGTTGCAACTTACCAGCGGAGATAGGTTTATTGAGTTAGGGAGGGGGGGGGGGAATAAATACAAAAAATTGCTAAATACTGGCATGTTTTTTGAGCAAGCAAGTACAAGTTTGGTTGTGTGAGGCTGCCTCGCCCGCCAGCCGGAGGTTAGGCCCTGTCTGATGGAAAGTGGGGCTGACCCGGACGGTATCTTACTGGTAACAGGGTTGTCTGGAAGGATGAAAACACTGACTTGTACATGGACTGGTGCTTTATCTTATACTTTGAGAACAAACTGCACACTCACCTCATGGGATCATGGTGCTTGCCATGTGTGAGAAGAACAGATCCGCAGCTGCCGTAGCGGGCCACTTTCCTTGCTCAAATGAGCAACAGGATGAAGGGCTGTGATACTGTCATTTCCCCTACTTCGCACGCGCTGTCACACTCCTAGCCATAGTTATGCGCGCTACTTGTCTATTTCCTCTCACTTCTGGTTGTTCTCTGCTGTTGAGTGCGTTTGTCGGAAATCTTGGTATCGCAAGTGCTGCACCTTGAGGACAACGTGGGCGGAGTCGGGAGACGGCAACTGGGTATCATTATCTCCAATCTCATTCCCGTGCACTCTTGAG